CTTTACCCCACTGGCTGGTCTGAATCTCAAGGACCAACCTGGCTAAATTTGGGCTTATTGCCACCTTCTCTCCCTGAAGACTGGGCACATGGGGCCTTGGGGATGGAAAGGTAGAGCTCACTGGTACATTGGATGGGCTGGCCCTGGGGGGAGAATTTGGCGAGATGAACTTCTTCAACAAGAAGCCAGAGCAATGATCATGCCTCCAAAAGCAAACACCCTGTTACTGGCTGCTGTGTCGTGTTCGTTCTAATGTCTGGGGCCACAGCCTTTAGTAATTAAGCCACAATATTAGATATGTCTTTACCCAGACTCCAGAAGACTTGGGGGTGATCCTGTGACCTCAAGGGTCCTAGCAAGCCACAGGAACAAGGTCACTCTTTCCTCACATGGCTGCAGCCCCAAGTTGGGGTACATAGTTTGGGGACTGGAGTATAGGTTAGGCCTGGCCCGCTGGTCCCAGCCCCATGGTGGTGCCAGCCCGTGAAGGAGGCTGCTGCTGAGTTTCCATTTGGCCTGGGCCCAGTGTCACCTGACTGGTCCACGGAAAATAAGTTCTCGGAGCCACTGTGCCTTAGTGAGATACAGCGCCCACCACAGGTCCTCACTCCTTGCATCCTGTTGCACTTTCTGTCAACAAAAGGAGCGCAGGTTCCGACTGGCTGGTGCCTGGCTAAACACAGACAGCTCCTAGGCCTTCTAGGAACTGGGCTGGGCTTCGTCCTCCGTGTTCTGGAGCTGAGCTTCAAGTCCAGCTTGCTGGGAGGTCATGTTCCTGGGGAAGCAGCGTGGTTGATGGAGGACAGAAGCGCCTGCTGGGGCCGTGAGTGGGGACGGCGCAGACGCAGCTGGGCCTCCTGGGCCTCGTGCTCCACAAGGCAGCCTGTGTGTCCTCGGGATAGGCAGCTGTCTGGCGGAGGCGCTGCACTGAGCAAGAGGAGGCCAGTTGCCTGGCCCGACGGTGAGCGGGCAGGGGACAGGGCAGTCTGGTCTCCCTATCTGGGCTGACCCAGGGGAGCCAGACACAGTTGGTGCTCTCTGGCGAGGCTTCGTAGCCACCTACCATCTGCCCTCAATGGCCCGAGACGAGGAAATTGAATCCCTGCATTTTTAAAATCCAGAAGGAAGGGAAACTCCGCCTGGGAAACATAACCCAAGTAACATGTTTGGGAGTAGGATGTTTAATTGTCCAGCTTTTCTGAGACCCAGCTGCCGGGTAATGTTATCTCAGTGGCTCCTGCAAGCAGAGGGGAGTGTATCTGGGCCCTGACGAAGGCTTAGTAAACAGAGCTGGCTTACTGGGGTGACCTCTGCCCCAGATCCCTTCCTGACACCTGCTCTTTCTCTGCAGTTTATCTCTGAAGTTTCCAGCACGGGCAGGGCCAGCTCAGGGGGGCTTCAGAATCTCAGGTTGGGGTGGGAGGCTAGGGGTGGGCTAGGCTGGAATTTTGTGTATGCTTATGCATCTGGAGTGGTAATCTAGGATTCTCTAGGTTTGGATGAGAGCAGACGGGCTTCCTGCCAGGATGAGAGAAGGAGGTCTGGAGACTGTCCGTATCTCTGGGCTTATCTCCAGGGAGTGCCGAGCATTTCCTCAGCCCTAGATTGTGACTGTCCAGGAGGGCAGGCTGGGCCTGCAGCACAACCAGACATTTGGGAGAACACAAGTAGGAATAAGGGGTCTCATTCCCACCACAGCCCTGGCTCACGCTTTTGCTATGCGGGGCGTCAGTAGAAAGCAAGGTGCAAGGGTTAGCAGGAGGGACCCTTGCAGAACTGGGAAGGAAGACCTGTTGCCGGAATCATGGTTGGGTCCTGGCCAAGTGGCTGTGCGTAGGGAGGGTCGTGTGCAGAGCTCTCCACCCTTCCTCTGGCCACCTCTCCAGTTCATGTGCCTTTGGTGTGGGTTCAGGGGGAGGGCTGCACAGAGATGATTCCCTGTGGATCTGCAGCTGTTGGAAAGAGTAAAGGACAAAGGACTTTTCCCAGAGGGGCACGTCCTAGTCACTGCATGACAGTCCTGGGCCGGGAATCAGGAGGTCTGCCCCTAGCGGGGTGATCACACAGTGGTAACAACAGTACACGTGTCAGGCTGGCCACCCTGGGGTGGGGGCTACCGTACAGAGCACGAGTCCCAGGGTCTACAAGCCAGGCTGAGCTCTCATAGCCAGTAAGGAGGGTCCATCCGCGTGGCTCCAAATTCCTCCTCATCTGGCCCTCTCCTCCTGGCCCGCATCAGGGTCCTGGGCCTGGGTTCCTCCTCTGGTGAGGAAGAAGCCTCTCAGCTGTGTGAGCCTTGGGTTCCAGCAGCTCCCAACCTGTGCTCTCTGAGTCCTCCCGGGCCAGGAGCTGTGAGCCTGTGATTAATTCTCTGGGAGGTGAAGGGAAGCCCCTAATTCTTGGAAGGATGCAGCCCGAATGTTAAGCCCCAGCTAAGTCCTGCCTGGGTGGGAGGGGGCTCTGCTCCTGCTGGAGAAATCAGCCGCACTCCCTCTCAGGGCTGGGCCACATGGGGCCTGGCTGCTTTCAGGAGTGTCGGGGACGGGGGGAAGGGGTGGAGGGGAAAGCCGCTGCTGGAGACAGGAAGGGAGAGGGGCGGGTTCGGATCTGTGAGAGGGCGGCCTCCATGCTGGTCAGGGCCCGAGCTTCCTGACTGACGGCTTCCATCTGGGCCCTGGGTTCTGTCTCTTCCTGCTCTGGGCCTTGAGCTGCCTCTACTCCATTGGGTTTCTCCAGGCCACTCTCAGAGCAAGGGCCACCTGGAGCCTTGTCTTACATTGAAAAGATGTCAATTGAGTCCTGGTCAAGGGATTCAGTCTTAAATTTGTATATAGGGAGACAGTCGGTGGCTATCTGAAACTCAGTTACCATCTCGATCACACTAAGAGGCCTGTAAGAGATAATGAAGTTGCGAGGGCTCTGAGCGAACTCTGAGTGGGAGTGGGTATTTAATAAGGGGTGAGCTGGGCCCACTTCCTCTCTGTCTCCTGTACCCGCTTACCCTCAAACTTATACTGGGGCTGACCCTCACCAGAGGCCGGCACCATACTCTTGGAATTCCCACCCTTCCAGAACCAAATAAACATCATTATTTGTAATTTACCCAGCAGAAAATAGACCAAGATATTTAGTGTGGTCAAGAACAGCAGTGGAGGGCTGGGGATCTAGCTCAGCGGTTCCGCCGTCTGCCTTGAAAGCGCAAGGTCCCGAGTTCGATCCCTGGTACCAAAAAAAAAAAAAAGTCTCTTCAGTAAGAACAGCAGTAGACTCAGCTAGATGGGCTTCAACTCTTTTGCCCTCCATTCTGTTAACCATGTGACCTCAGGCCCATTCCTTTGCTTCTCTGACCCTCACCTTCCTCCTGTACCACAGGGGTAACAGTGGTAGCTACTCAGTGGGCCTGAAGATGGAATGATCTAATGCACACAGGTACTTACCCTGTGCTGGCATCCAGTAACACTTATTTACCTAGATATTAGCCAATAGTTAGCTATCAAAATGGCTTTACCATTTATTGTATGAGATGCGCATTTACCTATCTGTTTATTATAATAAGTCAGCACTTAATTTGGAGCTTGTGGAGGTAAGGATGGCCTTTTACTTAATGTCCTTCCTTAGCAGGATTTCATGTCATAAATGCCCCATCTCTGGGTGGCACCATCCAGACAGCCATCCTCATTGGATTTCAGAGCAAACAAGTCCCAGAGCTGCGGCTGAGTCTGACTGAGCAAGTGAGGGAGTCAGGGCTCAGGCAGCCACTTGTGAAGTGCAGCTCCTGCACAGACCCTGCTCCAGGCGGCTGGGAGCTTGGCCAGTCTGATGCCGGGGGTTGAAATATCACTGCTCTTCTCCCATGTGCCTCCACCTCTGCATGGCCCAGACCCTGGCTTCTCCACTGTGTTGTTCTCCTCACTGGTAGAGTCTCCCAGCTCTATGGGACCAGAATCACTAGGCAAAAGACCAGGCATCTGCATTTTTGAACTCTCCGGGTAATTCTGATGGGCATCCAGGCATAGGAGCCAGTTCTCGAGGACCAATAGCCTGCCTCTCCCAAGCCTCACCTGTGCCCATCTGTGCTGTCCCTTGACACATGGTGGACCCTGGGCTCTAGGAGGGTGCAGCAGAATAGCCCTGCAGCGTGGCAGGGGCCCTCTCTCCAGCTCTGGCTGGACACAGTGGCCACAGCAGGCCAGATTTCTCTCCCTGCCAGGGGCCTGGTAGGCCAGACAGCCCTCCAGAGTGGCCTGAGGCAGTAGCTCTGCAGAGCCTACAGGAGCCTCGGGAAATGAGGTGACAGTGTGGCCCCAAAACACCTTCACTGCAAGGGACCTAGAGAGAAAAGCTTTCATATCTGCAGCTCTGCTTCCCATCTCAGATGCCCAGTTTGCTTGTTCAACGTAGTAAAATGTGGCTAAGCATCTGCTGTGTGCCAGGCACTGAGCATAGATTTAGAGAAACAAAGACAAATTATACATCTCTGAAATGCTACGGTCTCCTCAAGTTTGTTCAGAGTGAGTTCTCAGGATGAACTGCAGCAAAATGACCTGGGCTTGTTAAACGAGTAGGCGTCAGAACCCTCCAGACCCAGATCTCCTAATGCAGAATGTCACAGAGTGGGGCCTGGGCACTTACAATTTTGAAAGATCCCTTGTGGCCACATTCACTATAAAGTTTGAGAACCTGTGAAAATTAGCTACCTAAAAAACCAAAAACAAATATATCGTAAAAAGAAGGAAGTTAAAACCACTTGCTTTAATCCTACCATCCTAAGATAATCACCCTTAGCATTTTATTGACTGCTCCTCTGGAAGTGTGTATATATATTTAGACACATACTGTAGAATCCATGGTACCCAACTCTGCGCTAGGCCTGGGGGTAGGTGAGAGGCAAAAAAGAACTCCTCAGCTGTCGTGCTTCTGCAGTCGTGTGAAATGATGCCTGGCACAGCTCGAAGCCCAGCCTTGTGCATCTGCTCACCTGCTCTTACCTTTTCCCACAGGTCTACATTATCAACGTGACCTGGTCCGACTCTACCTCCCAGACCATCTACCGGAGGTACAGCAAGTTCTTTGATCTGCAGGTGAGTTGGCCGGATCTCAGGGGGTGGCCTGAGTCCCTCTGGGGTGCTAGCCCCTCTCATTGGAGCTGTCAGGGCCAGAATCCAGGCTGGTGCAGAAGGAAGATGAAGGAGGCCCGGTGGTGAAGCTGGGCTTGTCTCTGTCTTGGATGTTGTGCAGACACTCTGGGCTTTGTTGGCTTCCCCAGATGGTTTCAGCAGTCATGCTTTGTCACCCTCCTTCGCCCGGGGGTGGAGAGACAGAGGGTGGCATGGGTTCTGTGTGCCTGAGCAGATGTGTCTGTAAACATCCAAGATGAGACACAAGCCGCCGCAGTATTGCAGGCAAAGAAAAGCAAACACACAGAGAAGACCGAAACAGAAAATAAGCAATTTCTCAAACTGCAGACACAAACTGGCCATACCACTGTGTGTGTCTAACCAAATAAGGCACTTGCTGCCCCGCTGGAACATGTGGACGGTGGACTTGTGTCTCCATTCCGTGTAAGTGTTTTCCCACAGGGGGATGACAGTACAGATCCCACAGTTGCCATTGCAGACACCCCCTTAATAGCAGCTATTGGTAGCAAGTGACCAAAAGAAGTTTTTACACTCACGCTGGCTCAAGCAAAAATACAACAGAGAATCTTATGCCATCAACCAAATTGTGAGAGGGGCAAGGAGGCAGCGAGCTTTAGGCACAACTGAAACAGTCAGCTTCCCCGCTCGTTTCTGCTTCCCTCTGGCACTGTCCTCAGCTTCTGTTACCTCATACCCTACGGAGCTTGGCTGTAACAGCTTTTGAATTTCATAAGCCAACAGCTAAGCCACTGACTCTCTCCCAGTTCCAAACTGATAAATCTCAGGAAAGACCTTGATTGGCCTGACTTCGACCAGGTGACTTCTCTGGGCCAATCAGAATGGCCAGGGATAGGTCATGTAGCACATACGTAGCCACTGGGGGCCCTGTCCCTGTGTGTCAGAGACAAGTACTGTACCGGAGAAGGGAGAATCCCTGTGAGTTGGGCAGCAGCTACTACCAGGAAGGGAAAGCTGAGATATTCTAGATTCTTCCCCATGGTGTTAGTTTGTAATACCTATGAGAATGCAAAATGCTATGTAAATAATCTGTTATACTCTATTGTTTAGGGAACAATAACAAGGAAAAAAGTCTATGCATGTTCAGTAGAGATAAAAAATGTTTTCAAATATTTTTGATCCACTGTTGGTTGACTCTGAAAGCAGGTAGAGTCTGGTTTATGTCCACAAAGAAGAAAGAGACAACCACTCCTAGCCTTCACAACTAGGACCTGTCCCCTCGCCTCATAAGCCTTTGGTGGTAGGTTGTCTTGGGGAGGCAGGCCTGCATGTTTGTCCCCTAATACCTGATTTTATCTCATTGTCCTTATTGTTCTACTTATGAGACAAGCCAAAGGTGAGCTGGCTTCCTGTATTACAAATCCTCTCTTAATCCAGCTGTATGGGACTGAATATCCCATTGAAGATGGGACTGAAAGCCACTCCGTGCCCTCCTGCCTTCTTCCTCGCCCCCTCTCAATTCCTGTCCAGTCTCCACAAGTCCTCCCAGCATAAACTGGTGGGATCTGCCGATACCCCATCAATGGGTACAGTGTGCTGGGTGGGAAATGTTAACTCATTTGGGGAGAGGGAACCCTGAAAGAGCTCATTGATGAGCTGGAGGGGGTCTGAAAGCCAGTGGAAACTTTCAAATCAGAACTTTTCTTCCCATTCTTCCGTTCTGGTCCCCCACCCCCTCCCAAGTTACAGAATCTCACAAGAAAGGAATGTTGCATCCCCGCCTGCCTCCCCCTTGCTGTGGGAAGGCCCATTTCCCCCAGTCGGGAGGGAACACAAAGGTGGGGCCGTCCTGGTCCTGGATGGTCATGAACACAGCCAGACTTGTCCATACGGGACATCACCACCCGATGCAGTCAGCCCTCCACACCTGCGGTTTCCACATCTGCCGATTCAACCAATCACAGATTGAAAATGTGGAAAAAACTATTTTCATCTGTCCTGGATGTAGTCAGACTTTCTCCTTGTTACGGCTCCTGACCAATATGGTGTGGAAGTTGTTTACATAGCATTTACATCGTATTGGGCCTTAGAAATAATCCAGAGGAGACCCAAAGTCTATGGGACACTGTGCATAGGCTGTATGCAAATACTCTGCCATTTATGTAAGGACACGAGTGTGTGCGGATTCAGTGTTGGAGTGAGCCCTGAAAACCAGTCCTCGAGGGTGCTGAGAATGGCAGCTGGAGAGGGGCCAGGCCAGTCACTTGGAAGTTAGCTGTTGAGCCGTTGGATGTGGCATCTCTGTGAGCCCGTTTTCACCCCATGATGACTTCTAGTGGCATTCATTCTCATGTTTGATTATTTATCAAGGTTGCTGGCTCTCGTATGATGGCTCCTATAGGAAAAGAACAAATGGAGTTGCTGACTGTCTCTGGTGTGCGGTGGCACGTCCTGAGAGGCTGTGTAAGACAGCGTAGAGCCAGGTGTGGTGGTGTGCGTCTGTAATTAGTCCCAGTGCTCAGGAGGGTGAGGCGGGAGAAGCACTGTGAGTTCAAAGTCAGCCTGAACTATCGAGACCCTGTCTGAAAAAGACGAAAAAAGGACAGGAGGGAGAAAGGGAGAGAGAGCGACAGAGGCAGAGACAGACAGAGCCTAGACTGGATGTCCTGCCTGCAACTGAATCCTGGTTCCGTAACTGCTCCAGACCCAGTTTTCTCCTCTGCACAGCGGAGATTTGCACAGGGCTCCGCGTAGGGTGATTGTGAGGGGTGTGAGCAGGTCCGCACTCTCCCTGGCGCTTGCTTGTCTCCCGGTGACCTGGTGTACCTGGGCGAGGGGACAGTGGACTGCGTGGTGGAGGGCCGGGAGTTCCGGGCTGCCTCACTCGGGCTGCACTCTGCCCATGAGCTGCTCCGTGCCCGGTCCTCTGCCAAAGCGTTCAGAGTCCTGCCGGGCCACGGGCCCTCGGAAGCGGCTTTGGGAGGTGCAGAATGCGAGGTGCTCACTTCTGGGCTGAGCCCCACTTTGGGCCCTCAAGGCCCAGGCCCACCAAGTCTGCCAGAGGAAAGCTGCTTCCCCGGCCACAGCACCCGTGGCTCTGGGCCTCCTGGGGGCCGCAGACCCCTCTGTGAATCTGGCGGAAACGTCCTCCCCCTCAACAGGGTGTAGCATGCAAGTTCTTCCACAGCTTCAGGTGCTTCCAGACCCGCCCTGGGCCCCCAGTGAAGAGCTGCCTGACGGAACCAGTTTAGACCAAGAATCATGCGTGGGCTGCATAGGCGCCACTTGGGAATCTACACATGGCATTCAGACAGTAGCGGGAGGCCTGGACACCCCTTAGATGGCCCAGCGTCCCACCTCAGTGCTCATGAGTGGCCTGCCCTGTCCCCAGCCTGGGTGTCTCCATATATTCCCTCTTATCTCCCTTTTCAGATGGTGTCTTTGCCTTGGGTGGATCGTAGGTCACCAGGAGGGGCTTTGGGTCCCACCAAGCAATCCCGACCTCCTCCGGGGCCAATGGAAAGATGCTGGGCTGCACCCTGCCCTTCCTGCCTGCACCCCGCAAGCACCTCATGGGAGTTCTGCTGCAGATCTGCATGGGAGCTCCAGACCCAGTTTTTCCTTTTTGCTCCCCAACTGTGTCCACTTCAGCCTGATACCCATCCCACCCGCTTTGGCACACACTAAGATGTGAAGCCGGATGTCCCTTGGGGTTTGCATCCTCAAAGCTCGGCAGGGCCTGACTGCTCTGTATGTGGAGCAACCTGGGCACAAGCTGTTTCTGGTGTCGGGCAGGAGGGAGGCGGAAGTCGGAGGGCTTGTGCTAGGAGGAGAGCAGTGTCCCCTCTGAGGTGACCCATGGCATCATTGAGGCCTCTACAGGGCACTCGGAACTCTAGTGGCACATTGGGGAGCTCTCCACAGGACAGGTTGAAGACAGAGAAGCCAGAGACCACAGAGAGTGGGTGGTGGCTCCTTCTGTACCCTCTGGAGCTAGTTGCAGAGCAGAGCCGTGTCGCGATGCCTTCCCACCCCGCCACCCGCCTGCCGCACCGACTGCTGCTCCGGCGCTGGATCAGGGTTGCCAGCCAAACACGAGATGTGCTATTAGTTTGCTGATAAACAACAGATCCTTTTTCAAGTATAAGTATGTCCCAGATACTGCCTGGGAAGTACTAATACTAAAAAAGAAGGTTGTTTGTTCTTTGTGGTTCTACTGTGTTTTCATTTGCTAAACCTGGCAGCCTGCCCCAGCTTGGAGGGTGAGTGGTAGGGGGGAAGCTATACAGGTGACCGTCCCAGCTGGCTGGGGTGAGAGTAGATTGGCCTCCCGGCAATCACTCCTGGCAGGCACAAGTGCAGAGGCGAGGGACAAGAAGTGGAGAAGGACGGGCCCTTCCTGCAGGGGCTGGTACCCAGAGGCTAAAGGCTTCTAAACAATGAAGTCCACTGCAAATGGGATAAATACCAGATTGAAGTGTGAGCAATATGCTCTGGGGTGAAGAGAAAGGAAAGCATTCTTCTTGAGAATGACTGATGGCAGCAGCCTGGAGGGACTCAGCCACTGTCGATGTCCCCCCAAAGCCTCATGCGAATGAGGCGGCCCGTTTCAGAGGTGGCTGAATCTAGAGTGTGTGATTGATTCATGGTGCAGTGCTAGGCCTGAGGGCACTGGGACTAAGGGTGTGAGTGCTTCCCGCCCTAAATAGTCTGCATAAGATAAAAGGGACAGAAGATGCTGTTAAGGCCTCTTGTTGCTTTTGCTGTCTTCTGCAGCCGTGAACTGTTACCCCTTTGCCCCCCTGCCTTGGAGCCAGCTGACTTGGGACTGAAACCTCTACAAACTGTAAACCAAACAGACCTTTTCCCCTTTAACTATCGGTGTCGGGTGCTTTGTCTCAGCAACAAGAGAAAAGTAACCGAGACAGCCATATACCCTTATCCCCGTTTCGGGGGATTTGGTTGTTTTTTGAGAATCACAATTA